TGTGTGTGTGACAGCCCAGCCCAGGCTGTGCTGGAACTCACTCTGTAGACCAGATTAGCCTTGAATTCACAGAGATCAGTATCTCTGCCTCATGGGTGCTTGGATTAAAGACATTTCATACCATAGCCCAGATCTCCTAAAAATATTTTATTAACCTACTTTAATTGTATGAAATAGTGGATTTTCGGATGACATTTTCATGATTATATTTACCCATTACTTTTCTCTCCTCCTTATCACCTTTTCTTCCCAAGTTGTCCCTTCCGCTTTCACTTTTTAATAATCTATAAATAAAAGAAAACATGACCTATTTGTCTTTTTGAGCCTGGCTTATTTCCCTGTTTTTTTTAAATTAAACTTATTTTTATTTTATGTGTATGGATATTTAGCCTGATGCCTTCCAGCAAGTCTTTCAGGAAGTGCTCCTAACTGCTGAGCTATGTCTCTAGCCCCAATTTACAGTATTTTGTTGAAGAATTTCATGTCTGTATTCATGAGAAAATTGACCTATACTTTATTGCATCCTTATATAATTTGAGAATCAAAGTAATGTAGACTTGAGAATTAGTTTGAAATGTTTCTGTCTTTTCTTTCACAGGGTAGTTTGAGGAGTGTTACTGGTAGTTCTTTACCTGTCTGGTAGAATTCAGCATTGAGGAGAATGGGTTTGTTGTTGCCTGTTACACTATATTTGGACCTCTCTCTATTCACCATTATTTTATGTTATCTGCGGGTTCCCTTCATAATAATGCAGTGAACTTGATCACTTTAATTTTGATTTGCCAGTATATTTGCTCTTCCTTTAAAATTCCATTTATTTAGAATGTAATTTTCCTGGGTGGTGGTGGCACACACTTTGAATCTCAGCACTTGGGAGGCAGAGGTATGGGTCTCTGAGTTTGAGGCCAGCCTGGTCTACAAAGTGAGTTCCAGGACAGCCCAGGCTACACAGAGGAAGCCTATCTCAAAAAAAAAAAAAACAAGTATGTATACAATTTTCCATCCTTTATTTTCAATCCATATGTGTCTTTATCCAGGAGATGAGCCAACAGTTTGATCTTGTGCTTTAATCTGTTCAAATCCTTTGTCTTTTAACTGGAAATTAGTTACTGAAAGATAACTAACAAATTTCTCTCTCTTCATTTTTGCTCTACTGAGTTAATACTGTCTAGTTCTTTCTTAATTCTCTTCCATTAATTTTTTTAGTGAGATTTTTTTCTTCATAAACTTTTTTGATCAACTTAACTGTCTTCAGCTTCTCTGTGGTTTTCCCTTTATGTGTTGTTGGTTTTTCTCAGCCAATGGCTATAGATTGCGTTAGTTATGCTTATCATGGAAGATCTTTGTTTTTCCCTTAATTTTAAAGGATAGTTTTGTTGGATATAGTAATCTTAGTTGACACTTACTTTGTTTCAAGACTTCAAATCTATTAGTCTCATTTTTCCTGGGCTTGATGTCTCTGTTGTTACTTTGATGAGCCAGTTTTCCTAAGTAACATGACAGTTCTCTCCTGCCTCTTATAGTTTTCATGTATTCCTAACTTGTGGCATTTCATCTATTCTATGGCATGGATTTTATGGTCATGCTAAATTAAGCTTAATGTACTTAGATGTTCATTTCTTTTTTAGATTTGGTGGCTTTCTACTATAGTTTCTATGAACAGGTTTCCTATGCCTTTAGTCTGTATCTTCCTTCCCTCTCTTACACCACAAACAAGTAAGTTTGGTTTCTTAATAATTTTTATTTTTGTTTGTTTTCGAGATTGGGCTTCTAGTATCTCAATTTTTGCCTCAATTTGTTACATGACTGAGGGTGAACTTGAATTTTTGACATTTTTGCCTTTGTGTCTCAAATGTAGAATTACAGGCATATGCCACTAGGTCTGGTTTTTATGTAATCAATGGGTCAAATTCAGGACTTTATACATAGATCAGACAAGCACTCTACAAACTGAGCTACACTACCAGCTCCATCCTGAAGGTTTGAGTGCTAGGATGGCCATGCTTGTTTTGGTGGTGGTTGTTATCGCAATGTTAGTCTTCATCTGTCTTCACTTTCTGGGATTCTTCTGTCATCTTGATCTAGCATGTCAGTGAGTGCTTTCCACTGTTGATTTGGTTTATTGAACTTTCCAAATCCCTCTCCCTTCACTCCTCCAAGTTCCTCTCCACCTTCCCTCTCCCCTTGGGTTCCCCTTCCAGTCTCTATGAGCCCCCATGAACCCCACTTAGTTGGTTATATGGACCCATGCTCTCCTGGTGTGGAGGAACCTGTTTTTTAACAGCTTTTCAACATGCAGTTTACAGAGTCTGCAAGTCACCTGTTTAGTGTATTCCTGCTGTGGCTTTGGTATCTACACAGAATTGTGTGACTACCATTCCTGCCTACATCTGGGGATATCTCATCCTCCAGGAAGAGTTTCCGCTGTGCAGAACTTGCCCTCTGCCCTCTCCCATCCATGAAACTGTGTCCATCTTTGATGACATGTGCCTCCTCACTCTTGTAGAACCTCAGGTGATAACCAATGTCTTCAAATGCTTGAAGTGTGCATCAGATACTGGTCTAACTGCAGAGAATACATCAAGCACTTCACAAGGTCCCAGTGTAATTTGTTTCACTCCCTCGAGGTGAGAGGAAGGCCCCTTCCCACACCCATTCAGCTTTAGGGGAGTCATGAAACCCAGCACAACTCTCTTCAAAGAAGCTCTGCTTGTGCAACTTCTTTATTCAGGGTGTGTAGGCTTTGGAGCCATCCAACCGGTTCTCAGCCTCTTTGGAAACTTGCTACAGGGTATACCTTCTTACAAGTCATGCTAGTATCTGATTGCTAATAGTATCTTGATGCCTCTGTTGAAACTTCAGTTTATTAAAATATTTTATGAGGAAGATAATAACCCACATATCTCTTAGCAATGCATCTCCTGTTATAATGATATGCTGTTGTTATAATGAAGCACATGAAAACCTAGACACCTTTGCTGTGGGCAGAGGTGTGAGTAAATAACCTCATTTCTTATTTAGCCTTCTCAAGTAGTATGATTTTTTGTTTTTGTGGGTTTTTTTTTGTTAGTTTCTTCAGGATACATATAGATAGGTTAAAAGACAAGGCTGTCCTCACCTGTAGCTGGAATTGTGCGTGTGTGTGTGTGTGTGTGTGTGTGTGTGTGTGTGTCTTCGTGTTCCTAAATATATAAGTAGAACCTGCTCAGTCTATATGTTATTTGTATGTTTCCTGGTTTGACCATTTGGTGTTGGATAACCAACTGGAGCATTTCTCTGGAGAAGATTTTTTCCCCTGGCCTTAGCATTCCTTAGTTGTCTATAGTTCTTTGTCTAGGCTTGAGGCCTCTTGAGCTTTTCTCCTTCCCCATCTGTTGGTGATGTCCTTGTTCACTCATGTTTAAGGAGCCATGCTGTTGAGTCTTTCTATGTGTAACTTCTTGACATTTGTAAGAGACACAATCTCACAGCAAACTCCCTGATCCTCTCTGTCTCTCAAAATCCTTTTGATACCGCTTCCGCAGTGATCCCTGAGCCTTACTTTGAGGCAGGAGTTGTATTGTGGATACATCAGTTAACTGAGCTCCACATTTTTGCATTTTCATCAATTATGGTTTTATGTAATGCTCTCTATTTGTTGCAAAGACAAGTTTTCTAGTAGTTGGCTAGACTTGCAGGACCAGGCACGATTTCCCCCTTGCTAAGTTCAATTAGAGAGCTGTTGGCTACCTAGATGGTGTGTGTGCCAGTACTGCACCCTTAGGATTATCATGCCGTGATGGCTGGACATTGTGTGGATCATAGGCACTATTAGCTGTGTATGACTACCGGTTGCTTCCCTCCTTTGGAAACTTGCACAGTATCTTCTGGTACCGTGAAAGTTAGTTCTCAGGGAGGAGACATTCATGTCAGATCCATCTTGATCTCTGGCCCCTGTGTCCAAAGTGGACAGGATCTTCATTAATCGCAACTTTCCTTCCACCTCTGCTAGAAAACCAACAGTAGTAGAATTAATTAGCCTATGTTTTCGAAGTCTCTTGAACAACCTTGACCAGCAACAAAAATGAAGGCTTTTCATACCTGGCATTGTTTTTTGCCAGCCAGTCTATGGATCTTGTAGGGATCATTGTCAGCTGGAATGGAAATTTTCATTTAAACTATATATGTACATTTATACACCAACTTGCATGTTTTACAGAATCCTTTCTATTATAATGTTACCCTCCCCCTGTATTGATCTTCCCTCCCCTAACTGGAGGCCTCCCATTTTCCATTTACTCCTTCAGATCATTTCAGTGTTTTCTTGGTGGTTGGGTAAATGCAGACACCTGTCTAAACAGATGTCTTTGTGGACTAATTTTTTTTGAAGTAAGTTTCCATTGTCTTAAAGTTTCTTAAAAATCAAAACAAAGATTCCTATGCATTTGTAATTTGTTGTTGATATTTCTCAGTTCTTTACCCATAGTAAAAAGCTAGTATAAGGACTAGAAATACTGTGCATACATGTCACACATTTCACTCAGTCTATGAATAGCATGATGATATTCAACCTTGAGTATTAAGAATTGCTTTTAAGTGTTGGCAGTCATAGGGGGGAACTAGCAGCATAATTGAGTCCAGGAATAATTAACTCCCTTCAGTGTTTTTCATGATAACATATATGTTAAAGATTATAGAAATCAGTGATGAAGCTTGGAGCTGAACACCAAAAAGGCTTGAGCTACTTATTTCATCATCTGTAGTTTGGTGGCTTCCTGGTCCACTGTGCTGTCTTCTCTCATGAAGTCGTCACCCTCACTGTCCCCAATAGCCTTTGTAGTTAACGCTGTTAGGCAATTGAGGGGCTTTCTTCCAGGTCGCTCGCTTTTTCCAAGTTTACATTTGTATTTAGATTGAAGGCCACACTGAGAAATTAGGTAGATGGGTGTATAGCTCAGAGCCTTCACTGATAAAAGTGTAGTTCAGTTGTTCATGAATAACCTTTCTCTTTTACTTCCTAGGCAATATGCATGTGTCACTAGCAGAGGCCCTGGAGGTTCGGGGTGGACCACTGCAGGAGGAGGAAATATGGGCTGTATTAAATCAAAGTGCTGAAAGTCTCCAAGAACTATTCAGAAGAGGTAAGTCATGTTTTAAAACTTTTTTTTTTTTTGGTTTTTGAGTAACTGAAAAACAGGTAACCAATAGTTACCTAGAAAACTTGTTATAAAATTACTGCCTCAGAGAAACTTTTCTGGTATTTTTTTAATCCAGTTACTGTGCAGTGTTAAATCATAAAACATTGTCATCACAGGCTTAACCTCTTTTGTTAGAAATTAAATTTCTGTTTCAGTAATCCAGGTTTTGGTAGAGTGTAGAAAGAAATGCATCCTCATATTCTTCTCAGGGCTAAAAAAGCTCAGTCTGCTTGTGTTAATTTGAGTACCCTGCATATGTCTGCCATAGCACCAGTCAGCACTTCCTCTCTGTTGGGAGCTTATGTTCCAGTGCAGAAAGGAACTATGAACAAAACACTGATATAAGCAAATGAACTGTGACAAGGTCGTGAAGTCCGGACAGGCAGGGACTCTGTAAGATCACACAGGAGGATTTGACTTAGGTAAAAGGAAGAAGGAAGGTTTCCATGCATTAAGTTTCCCCAGAGCTCATGCCTCAAAGAACAGTAGGACTTGGCCTTGTGAGGGGAGTGAAGCAAACATTCCTGGCAGAGAGTGCTGTGGTCGAGTTCCTGCTGCTGCACCTTAGGCAGTGAGAACTGAATAAGTAGTTTGGTGTTTCTCTTATAGGTGGTCACTTGGTCCAGAACAGTGGATTACATCTGGGAGATGGAAGTTAGTTGGACTTCAGTTGTCCAAAACTATTTGCTGTGGTGTGGTTCATGTCACATGCACAGCACCCATGTGGACGAAGAGTTTTATCAAATGGGAGAACCAGCCTCTAAAATTTTGTTGGGTGACTGGGTGTGGTGGTGCACACCTTTAACCCCAGCACCAGGGAGGCAGAGGCAGGTAGATCTCTGTGAGTTTGAGGCCAGCCTGGTCTGCAGAGTGAGTTCCAGGACAGTCAGAGCCATTACACAGAGAAACCTTGTTTCCAAAAAAAAAAAAAAAAAAGCCAATAAATGAATAGTCTTCAAAGTGCGGGATCTGGACCAATGGTGGAGCCTCACTGAAACCTTGTTAGAATGCAAATGATGAGTCCTATACCACAGACCTACCCAAGTACTCTCAGGGAACCCAGGAGCTTGTCTTTGAAGACATTGTGATGCATACTGCAGTTTGAGAACAAAATTGCTAACCACCATGTGCCATGGGAACTCCTTGGGGAGGTGCAGGGATGAGCACAGAAGGAAGACAGTGCAGAGCAGATGGGAAGAATGTTTGCAGACCAGGGCTCAGGAAGATGGGTGAAGCTTGGGTGTTGATACTGTTGATTTTCAGTCTAAGGAGGAACTTGAACAAAAAGAACCATGGCCCAGGGTGTTGATTGATACCCAGGGTGCTGCTTGTTACCTGGAGGTGGGGGACTTTGTTCCCCAGGGGGACTGCTTTGTTTCCCAGGGGGACTGCTTGTTGGGGGTAGTGTTTGTAACAGCTTTGAAGATTGTTAACTGAGATATGTGAAGACCTTTGTTTATAGCTGGGATTAGTCTAGATAACAGAATTCTTTTTACCTAAAATCAGTTACAAAGCTTGTTTATTTTAAACAAACACTGTTGCTTCACTTGCCTCACTGAGCTTTGTCAGAAAATTTAGAATTATAGGCAATCCAAAGTGTAGAAGTCTATAGCCAAAGTATAGATCATACAGCTGTGCTTCAAAGTTGTCTTACTCAATTGGCAATTAACAATAGTATATTAATGTTAAGGACCTCTCCTTGTGGGGTGCTGTGGGAGGGACCAGTGAATGGAAGATGTCATTGTTGCCCCTTGGGTATTGATTTGGATCAGATGACTGCATGTGAGAAGTTACCACTTCCAAATAGTGTACCAGAGGAATGACAGAGACAGTGAGCACTACAGATGTTCTGAGGAGGGAGAGATAACAGCTCTTCATTTCACCAAGTGCCCATGACTCACAGTATGGGAAGAGTCTTGCCCACTCTCAATACCCTGGGGGGGTTTCCTTCTTTAAGTTTCATAATGCTGCTTGTATTTACAGCCCTCATCTTTGAGCAGTGGTTACGGCACTTCACAATGAAGACACATGAACTGTATTGTAAAATTCACTGTGAGGCAGCTGTGCAGCTGGGTGTCATACACTGTCCAGTGGGGATTGCCCTTAGTGTAAGTAGCTAGCAGAATAATTAAGTTTGACTCCTCTGACAGTTGGGAAAATCACCAGTTATTGTGATTGCCAATTGGCAGTTTCCACTTGTTAAGAAAAAGCAAGTGTTTGATTGACAGGAAATCTTTGTATTTCATAATGCAGCATCATTTTCCTACAAGTTTTCCTAGTGACTCTGATACAGCAAATATATGAAATGATCACTAATTGGTTAGTTGGGGATGGATTGTGTGGTTGTCTTGATGCTTTAGATATGTTTATCTAAAGTTAGGGGGAAAACAGATTAAATATATACCCTTCCCCCCTCAGATAAAATGTATATCCCTGCAGATAAAATGTATAGTCCCCAAGCTGTTTCTTTTCCTGAAATGTATCTTACAGTCCTGGCCATCTTCATCTTCCTGTGTCTTTTGGATAAACTTTCTCTGGCTCTTGTTGGTGGCTTCCGCACTGTCGTCTTGAGCCTGTTGCTCTGCATCCTTACAGCGCAGGTGTGTAGTGTCCTGCTGAAATTCCTGTGATAGGAGGAGGAAGCAGCCCTCCTGGTAGATTATCCAGCAGAGAGCAAGAAACCAAGCCAATTCTTCTTCCGTTTCAGGTAAAGCTTTTAACATGTTTTCAAACCTAGGTCTTTATTACTATTGTTCATAGGACAGTGATGCTAAAGTATGGCCTTGTGGGAAGACACTGTCTTCAAAGGAGCTTCTCCCCAGAGAAAGAGCAGGAAACTGTTACCATCCACTAACCATGCCAGTGACACGGCAATTGTCTTCCTTCTGTTGTGTCTTTTTGTAGCTCTGTGTCCTGAGTATGTACCATCCCTATGATTACTGATCAACGTTTTGAGGATTTCTTGTGGTTGCACATACAATCCGGCTTTGTAGTTACTCTGTGATAATTTGAGAACAGGTATACTAGGTCTCTAGGCTATAACTCAGGCTGGTTAATGATTGGGCATGTGAGCTGTAATAATGCTTAGGAACAGTGGATGACATTAATGGCCTGGAACTTTCCTTCTTACTACTCTGTGCATCCAGTCCTGTAGTCTGTCCTGGCTGTTGCTGCCTTGTGACCCTTTTCTTTGTGGTTTGCTGCAGTGTGTTTCTTCCTCCGTCTTCATGTGCTCTGTGCTGAAACTTTGATATTGTTTACTGAGTAGCAAGGAACATAGTTTACATTTTTGTCTAGATGTGTAGTTGTTATTCTTTAACTTTAATGTGGTAATTGAAATGAAATGTCTGAGGAATTTAATCTAGGGTTTCAACACATATTCTCCTAGTTATATGGCTCTATGGCTCGTGGTCTGTCTTTGTTGTTGTTATTGTTTTGTTAGTTTTTCAAGACAGGGTTCCTCCTGTGTAGCCCTGGCTGTCCTGAAACTCTCTCTCTGTAGACCAAGCTAGCCTCACAGAGATCTGCCTGCCTTGGCCTCCCAAGTGCTTGGATTAAAGGAATGTGCAACCACACCTGAATGCTTGTCTCTTTCTGAGCTAATTGGGAAGCAGACTGTATGGGCAGGGGAACATATAAATGTTTTTTAAAAAGTAAAAAACCCCTGCACACTGATATAAAAAAAACAGTTTTATATCTACACAGTAGCAATTAGAAATTGAATTTTTCAGCTGACCATTTTGTAGAAATGTTAACAAATAAAATACAAAAATTAAAAATATGAAAAAATTATAAATAAATCTGAGGAAATAGTAAGTAAAGACCTATCTAATGAATAGAGAGCAAAATAAATGGAGACCTATGCTATGTTCCAGGTAAGAAGGGCTTCTTATTAAAAGGATGGCAATTTCCTCTAAACCAATAGTGAATATAGTCCCAACAGGCTAGAGTTTTGCACTAAGTGAGAACATCCTAAAATTTATACAGAAAAATTTCAGAATTAAAAGTAGCTAAAACATCTTTGAAAAGAAAAAAAAAATATGCTGAAGACTCAGCACTGCCTAATTTCAAGATTTACTATAAGGCTATAGCAATCAAAATAGACTAATTAATTAATGAACATAATAGAGTTCAAGAATAAGTCCTCATTAGGCCTTACCCTCCCTGGGGAATGGAGTAGGGATTGGATGGGGGGCTGGGGGGGCGGGGAGGGAGTGGGTGTGGAGGGGAGGGAGAGGGAGCTGGGGCTGACATGGGAATCAAGCTTGTTTCTAATTTAAATATATAATAAAAAAGTGTAAAAAGAAAAATAAGTCCTCATTGATAATGAACTTCAACTCCACCTCCTGGGACTTTCCAAAGCCTTTATAGCAAAATGTAAGAAGATTTTTACGGACTGGAAAATTTCAAGTGACTCTTTTTATAGTATGTTCAGCTTTTAAAAGACTAGGCCCTGCCTAGTCACTTTTTATTGCATTCCTAGTTATCTGCTGTCATAATTGAGTTGATTAAGAGGGTGCATCACTTGTTTTTGACATGCTACATCTTGCCTTGTATTTGTAAGGCCAGAATTAACAGGTCCTTCAAGTTAAATGTGTTTGAACTACATGAAATTGCTCTATTTGTTCCTGGAAACAAACTATAAAGCATGAAATGAAATTGAATATTTGACATGGTATACGTTGTTGGACAAGTGTATGAAGCACTTGTGGAGAACAGCCCCTACCCTGCAAACACACCAGCAGTACACTGTGTTTATTGACATTTTTTGACTTTATTAAAGAGCTTAGAGGAGAAGGTTGCCATGGCTTTTCTTCTCTAGTCCCATCCTTGGTGAGAAATGTAACTTCACCTACTAGGTTTGTTTTCATTTTTACACTTAGAAGAATTTTTTAAATGTTGGTATAATGTGTACAATAATTAGTATTGTTCTTGCTTGTACT